TGGAAGGACTGATTTCAGCACATCTCCTCCTCCCTCCTCCTGTTTGAGAATAAACCAGACCTCCACCTTAATACTAAAAGGTGAGACTCTGTGTTGAGACATGTTTTCCAGCAGGAAATGCCTTGATTCCCTTTGAAACAAGGACCAGCTGCATGAAAGACACAGATCAAAAGGTGATCTATGCAAACCTGTCTGTGAAACCCTGGCTTTGTTCATATAGAATCCTAGAGTTGGAAGAGACCTCGTGGGCCATCCAGTCCAACCCCCTGCCAAAACGCATGAAAATCGCATTCAAAGCACCCCTGGCAGATGGCCATCCAGCCTCTGTTTAAAAGCCTCCAAGGAAGGAGCCTCCACCACACTCTGGGGCAGAGAGTTCCACCGCTGAACAGCTCTCACAGTCAGGAAGTTCTTCCTCATGTTCAGATGGAATCTCCTTTCTTGTAGTTTGAAGCCATTGCTTCATGTTCTGGTCTCCAGAAAACAAGCTTGCTCCCTCCTCCCTATGATTTCTTCTCACACATTTATACATGGCTATCATGCCTCCTCTCGGCCTTCTTTTCTGTCCACTTCCGAGCTCAATTCAAAGTGCTGGTTTTTACCTATAAAGCTCTATATGGTTCTGGCCAGCTTACTTGTCTGAACGCATCTGCCTCTACGTCCCAACTCGTAACTTAAGATCATCCGGGGTGGCCCTGCTCTCGCTCCTGCCAACATCGCAAACGCGGCTGGCGGGGATGAGAGACAGGGCCTTCTCGGGTGTAGCCCACCTGTGGAACGCGCTTCCAAATGAAATACGATCGACCCCATCTCTCCTGGCATTCAGGAAGAAATTAAAATCTTGGTTTTGGGACCAGGCTTTCAGACAATAAACATAAAGCAGCACTTTGACTTGAAATGGATTGGCAAGACGATATGTATGAGGATACGGTTTCATGGTTCTATCAGTGGGTTTGTGGACTGAGTATTGTTTTAATGACTTATGATAATTTGGTTCTAATTAACTGCTATTGTTTTAACTCTGTATGCATTTACATACAGAGTCCCCCCTCAGGGGTTGAGAAGGGTGGGGTAAAAATGCCGCAAATAAATAAATAAATATGCCTTGGTCACCTCTCGATTGGATTACTGTAATGTGCTCTACGTGGGGCTGCCCTTGAAAACGGCTCAGAAATTCCAACTGGTTCAACGGGCGGCAGCCAGGATGTTAACTGGCGCTCCTTACAGAGAGAGGTCAACCCTTCTGTTTAAGGAGCTCCATTGGCTGCCATTTACCTACCGAGCCCAATTCAAGGTGCAGGTGCTTACCTACAAAGCCCTGAACGGTTTGGGACCTGCCTACCTGCGTGACCGCATCTCCGCTTATGAACCCATGCGCTCCCTTCGTTCATCCGGAGAGGTCCTGCTCGCGATCCCACCTGCGTCGCAGGCGCGTTTGGTGGGGACGAGGGACAGGGCCTTCTCTGTGGTTGCCCCCCGACTTTGGAACACCCTCCCCAAAGACATTAGACTAGCACCCACGTTGGCAGTCTTTAGGGAGAACTTGAAGTCTTGGTTATTCCGATGTGCCTTTCCAGAATAGGATAACCCCCAGCACTATGTCCCAGAAGCACTTTATTAGAGTTTAAGACTCTCTGCACATTGCACTTGCCCAGAATCCCAACATACCACCTCACACACCAGCACTTTTAACCTGTACCCATCATTGGCCTGGCCCTGATTTTATTGTGTAATAGTGTAATGTTTTGTTGTGTTATTGCTTATGTTTTAATTTGCTTGCATCGTTATTGTTTGTTGTTGTTATGTTGAGGCCTTGGCCTTTGTAAGCCGCATCAAGTCCTTCGGGAGATGCTAGCGGGGTACAAATAAAGTTTAATAATAATAATAATAATAATAATAATAATAATAATAATAATAATAATATAAACATGCCCAGCTCCTTAAGCCACTCCTCATAGGGCTTGTTTTCCAGACCGTTGATCATTTTAGTCCCACAAAGTTACCCAGACCACTGTGAGTCCCTTGTGAGCTTGGAAAGGGCAGCCCTAACTCGCCATGGAGAGGCTGCCATTTGCCAGAATGGCTGGCGATCGTCTGTAGAACAAATTTGGTCCCTTGACAACCACTGATGTATGTTCCAGTTCTAATGCTATTTTCAGAAGGTGGAGGAATCAGATGACAGAGTAGAGAAAGGCTGGCTGTTTCAGGAGAAGATGAAACCTATGTCTCAGGACATACATGTCAGGACTAGGCTATTTCTAGCTTGGATCTTTAGCAATCTTACCTCTTTGGTGGTAGATCTCCTAGCACCTGCCCCAGGCAATCTGTCTTTCCCCTCTTCTTCCCTTCATCAAGGCTTGTCCTGTTGATATTTTGCAATCCATAGATGGGTAGAGATCAGATTTGTGGATTGCAATCTATCTGGCTTTTTAATTCTATCCTAATGCAAAAAGTATACTAATTCAGAGCCCAGGAAGTTGTGTTTCCTACTAGAACTATGCAAAGGTCACTGTGGCGCAATGGATTAAACCCTTGTGCCGGTAGGACTGAACAGGTTGGAGGTTCGAATCTGGGGAGAGCACGGATGAGCTCCCTCTGTCAGCTCCAGCTGCCCATGCACGGACATGAGAGATGCCTCCCACAAGGATGGTAAAACATCAAAACATCTGGGTGTCCCCTGGAAAATGTCCTTGCAGACAGCCAATTCTCTCACACCAGAAGTGACTTGCTGTTTCTCAAGTTGCTCCTGACACACACACACACACACAAAACTGTCCTCCCATGCCTCTGCATCTCGTGGTGCCAGAGCGCAGTCTGTTCAGCGCCTTCCAAGTTGCCCAGTCTTCTGTGTGCCTAGGGGGGAGTCTCTCATTTGGTATCAGCCATTGGTTGAGGTTCTGGGTTTGAGCCTGCCACTTTGGGACTCTCGCTTGCTGAGGTGTTTCAGGGAGTGTCTCCGTAGACCTTAGAAAACTATTTCTTGATTTAACTCCCCCTGAAGATGCAGGTTCGCAGCTTGGGAGTGATCCTGGATTCATCGCTGAGCCTGGAACCTCAGGTCTCGGAGGTGGCTGGGAGAGCTTTTGCACAATTAAAACTTGTGCGCCAGCTGCGCCTGTACCTTGGGAAGTCTGATCTGGCCATGGTGGTCCATGCTCTTGTTATATCCTAAATAGACTACTGCAACGCGCTCTATGTGGGACTGCCCTTGAAGACTGCCCGGAAGCTTCAACTAGTCCAATGGTCGGCAGCCAGGTTGCTCACCAGAGCAGCGTACAGGGAGCATACAAGCCCTCTGTTATGCCAGCTCCATTGGCTGCCAATCAGCTTCTGAGCACAATTCAAAGTGCTGATTTTAACCTTTAAAGCCCTAAACGGTTCTGGCCCAGACTACCTGTCCAAACGTATCTCCTGGTACGAACCATCACGAAACTTAAGATCATCTGGAGAGGCCCTGCTCTCGACCCTACTGACATAGCAAATGCGATTGGTGGGGACGAGGGGCAGGGCCTTCTCATCAGTGGCCCCCCGCTTGTGGAATGCTCTTCCCAGAGACATCAGAATGGCCACCCCCTCCTGTCTTTTAGAAGAAAAATCAAGACCTGGCTTTGGGACCAACCGTTTGATTAGTCAGCAGCAAGTAAAAGAAGACTTTAACACTTATAGCAATGATTTGACCCAGAATGGATTTTAGACTCTGATTTTAATAGGCATGTGTTAATCAATTGTTTTAATGATTGTTTTAATATTTTTAATATTTCAATGTATTGTTGATTTTTTTTTATTATGATGACACCGTATGGTTTTGTGAGGCTGCCCTGAGTCCCCTCTCAGGGTATAAATATAAATATAGGATCCCAGTAGACTTCCTCGCCGATGTCTAGAGGATCAAGTCCAGCGTGACCAGAAGTCATTGTGGATGGGGGCTCTGAATAATGAGTTGGCTGGATTCGGTCTGCCTTTGCAATTTCTGGGTGTTCTGGGTCCGGGCAAGTGCATTTGGGGTGTCTATGCACAGGTGGACCTAGAGAGCATAGGTAGGTCTTCAGCCACAAGGTTTTTAGCTTCCCACAAAAGGAATATTCATTTAGAGCACTACCTAACTATTCCACTTCCACTAACCTTAAGAAGAATATATACTAGAGCTAGGTTTGAACAACTCGGTATTATGATGCAAACTGGGCGCTACTGTAGCACCCCAAGAAGAGAGAGATTCTGCGTCTGGGGAGAACAAACAGTGGAAGACTTTGAACATTTCTTAATTGACTGTCCAGCATATACTGAACTGCGAGACAGATATTTACATCCAGTATTATCCAACTGCAGGTCCCCCAACAGAAATGATATTCTGACATCCCTCTTGCAAGGGCAGGAAAGATCCAGCATAATCAGAGTAAGCCTTTTTATTCTGAAAGCTATTAAGAAAAGAGCAGATTTCCTGAAAGAAGAACCAGGAAAATAAGATTCTGACTATAAATAGAAGGTCAGCTGTTGTCCTCACCTTTTTGCCTTGTTTTTTTTACTCATGTTCTATTTTGAAATGGTCATATGACTGGTCAAATAAATAAATATTATTATTAATATAGGAAATAAAATAAAAATCTAACGTTCAGTGTAAAGTGCATTGAAAGTGCTGATCTTAACCAAATAGGAATGTCCTACATGACATCTGCTCTGTGCTGTAAACTTTTTGGGCAACACGTATGTCAGCAGAATGCATGAGCAATGGTTCCTGGAATGACACAAGTCGTGGTGATGTCTTGAAATTATCTAGCAAAGTAAAAGCAGTGCTCATTACAGGGAATCCAGAGCAGCAGCTTTCCTGGCAAACTGCTCTTTTGTCTCTGCTTAAAGGTCTTCAGTGGGAAACCTTTCTAATCTATAGCCACATCCTGACTGCTGAGGTTACCTATGGAACAATTCTCTTTGCACATTTTGTTGTTGATGAGCAGCACTTTTCCCTCTGTGCTCACTCTGTGTTTTTTCCTTCCTCTTTCTAGCAGTCCTCATGTGCATCTGTTTGCTGTCGGTCACCTACGGAGCCTTGGTCTGCAACGTCCTGGCCATCCAGATCAAGTACGACGACTACAAGATCTGCCTGCGCCCACTGGCCTTCATCTGCATCCTCCTCTGGCGCAGCTTGGAAATCTCCACCCGCATCACCATCTTGGTTTTCTTTGGGAGCGTCTTCAAGCAGTCCGCCATGGCTGTCGGTGGCGCCAACTTCCTGCTGTTTTTCTTCCTGCCATGGGTCCAGTTTTGGAGGAGCAGGGGCCAGCTTCCCGACAGCGTGGAGAAGAATTTCAGCAAAGTGGGCACGATCTCGGTCCTGTGCTCCATCACTTTGCTGTACGCGGGCATCAACGTCTTCTGTTGGTCCGCAGTGCAGCTCAGGTTGGCTGACCGAGACTTGATTGCCAAGTCCCAAAATTGGGGGTGCTTGGTTTTGTACTATGTCTTTCGGGGAGTGGAGAACATTGTGCTGATCGTCTGCTGGTACTTTTTCAAGACGGAGGTCTATGACTATATCTGCACCCCAATGTTAGTGTTGCAGCTCATGGTGGCCTACTGCACCTCCATCACCTTCATGCTCCTCTTCATGGAGTACCTCCACCCCTGCCGCAGCCTCTTTAGGCACAACATCTCTGACTTCTTGCACTGCGTTTGCTGCAAGTGGGAAGCCACACCAGTGCACTTGGAGCCCCCTTTTGAACCGGGTGTAAGACACAGTGTTGTCTGATGGAAGAGATCTGGAACCAACGACAAACCAATTTGCCAGTGCAAGCAGGATGTGCCCACCTACCTTGCCTAAACTTCAACTGGAGGAGAGGCTGTAATTTTAAGGTGCTATGATCCATGTGCAGGCGGTACGGTGACAGCGGTGGCCAGAATCAGCCATCTGGAGCATCATCTGGACCAGTGGCACAAAACAGGATGGATCTCCCTGCATAGCCAGGAGCAACCAACCATGGTATACCCACACAGCTGGGCAAACAAAGGTTTGGGATGTGACTTTCGCCGGTAGGCTGTCACTTGAAGAGACTGCGTCGTCCGATGGAATGGTTGTCTCAGTGGCATCTGTGTGTAAATGGCCTCTTTGGATGGAATTTCAGCTAGTTTGAAAGTCAAACCTAACTGACTTGCAGGGGAGATGTTCTGGTGGACATAAAACTACTCCTAACACAGAGTATCCTTGTCACTCAACAGGCTTCCTGAGGTTACATACGGTTGTATCCTAATATGTTAACGGGGTCTGGACACACCTTTGAAGTGTTAGTTGTAACTTCTAAAATGTGTCTTCGTTTATTGTATTTATTTATTTTGTTGACCAGAGAATGGCCAATGCTTAAATCCACAAAGTGTGCCAGGAAACATTTTAACGGGATTTGGCTGTATCTTAACGCTCTTGTTTCTCCTGCGCCATTTTGGGCAGCCTGGCGCCCATTCGAGTTGAGAAGCTCAAAGGGCCAAAGAGTTCTGCTCAGGTAGGGATTGGTAGTATAGCAATGGCAAAAGATCTAGGTGAATGCAAACCATTTTTGTGGCCCCAGAAAGCTGACTATTGGGGTCAGGCTCATGAAGGAAGATGCAGCTGATAGGCCAAAACAATAGATAAGGAGTGTCCCACATTGCAACGCTTTGTTGCACGGCCCATCTTTCTCATATTGGAAGTAGAATGCTTCATCCTGGGCCAGAAATAAAGAGTTTTGCAATGGCCAGGTATTTCTGAAATGTTTATATCGCATCTATCATGTGTTCTCTTTTAATTTGGAAAGAAACCAGTCAATGGAACGGTGTGGTTGATTCTTAAAGTGTGCGATACAGAAAGGCTACCAACTAGTAAGATTGGGAAGTAGTCATCAAATTTTAATTTTTGATTGCTTGCTTAATTATAAAGTTTCAGATGGTTTCTGTGTCCATTTAGTCAGGTCTGAAGATGCGCCTGCAAATGGCGGAGGCTTATATCAGGAAGAGGACTCAACTGCATGTGAAAATGCAGAATATAGCTGGAATGAACACATATATTGTATTTATAATTGTCCCAAATCTGCCCCTTTGTGCATCAAATGTGAAAACTTCTATCCAATACTGAAAGCTGTATTTTAAATGTCATTTTTTTTACCTCAACATTCAAGATTGTTTCGTTAGGCATTGAACATGGGATGTTGTAACCTGACAAATATGACACATCAGTGCATTGCTGTCTATGAAATGGTGTTGGGTGCCAAATGTCAGTGATGACTTCAGTTGGTGACTACTGCTGCATGCCAGTCACCAAAAATCGCTAAATATTAAATACTGTGAAACCTCTGTGATGAAGTGAAATGTTGTATTAGAAGGTGTCATTTTGTGGAGGGAGGCAGGAGCTTGTCTGTGTAAGTGGACAACCCAGCCACACACATGCATCAATATCTTCTCTTATGTGTATGTATAGATATAACTTTGGTACTGGTGTTTAAACAAGCATAATTTCAATTTGGTTATTCTGAAAGCAGTTTGAATGATATAAGTGACAAGGGACGGGTCAAGCAAAACTAAGCTAAATTTTTGCACCGACAAAGTGAACAAAATTGTAATACTAAAACAAATTTACACAAAGTCAAAAGTTTTTACTCAAATCCAGGACAGGGTTTTATTTGAAACACAAGGAAGTCAACAAAAACCAAGGAAGGAAGAGTGAACCATTTGGGGTGAGTGAAAAGAAAGCCCCCTCCTTCGCTGCAGGTCTGGCTCAGTCAAGGAAAGGGCATAGAATAAGCTGCCTTCAGTTCTGAATCCAACAAATGCTGAATTTCAAAAGATGATTTCCAGGCCTAAATAGAGGAAAGTGTCGAGAGGTTATGCCCCCTGCCTCAATCATCACAGAAAGAAAAGAACCTCAACAGGGAGTAAAACATTTGGAAGGATTCTTAGAAGCAGAAACAAAAGCTTTATCTAATCTGGACAAGACAAGGAGTGGTTAAAATGAGAGAAAGGCAGAAATTAGTGAAAAGAGTGGACTTTAATGTTCCCTGATTCGTGTTTGGGAATACCTGCGTTTGGTACCATGGTGAAGGAGCCCCTTGTGGCGCAGTGGGCTAGATCCTTGTGCCAGCAGGACTGAAGACCGACAGGTTGGAGGCTCTAATCCAGGGGGAGCACAGATGAGCTCCCTCTGTCAGCTCCAGCTCCCCATGTAAGGGCATGAGAGAAGTCTCCCACAAGGATGGTAAAACATCCAAACATCCGGGCATCTCCTGGGCAACGTCCTTGCAAACAACCAATTCTTTCACACCAGAAGCAACTTGAAGTTTCTCAAGTCACTCCTGACATGAAAAAAAAAATCACCATGGAAAAAGAAAATGAAGGAAAGCTGCCATTTCTAGATGTCCTAGTCATCTGCAATCTCAATCAACAATTGGGCCATATAGTTTACAGAAAACCTACACACATGAATAAGATCCCTACACAAAAACTCCAACCATCAGCCAAGTCAAAAAAGAAGCACAATTAAAGCCTTGGTAGACTGTGCAAACACAATCTGTGAACGTCATGTCCTCCAAGGTGAACTGAACCACCTAAACTGGGCTCTACAGGTCAATGGAGACTCCACCTCAGACATCAGAAGAGTTGCATCAGAAGAATCAAGACAAAGATCCACCCAGAGGGAAAGTGTTCTTGCCATACATCAAGGGAACCACTGACTGCAAAGCTGGTGAAGAAACACAACTTACAAACTATCTACAGACCCATGAAGACAATCCAACAAATGCTCCGTTCAGGAAAGGACAAGAGGGATCCTCTCACCTCTGCAGGAGTCGACCGTATACCTTGCAGCTATGGCCAAGTCTCCATAGGAACCACCAAACTCAGCAGCATTGCCCAAACACGAATCAAGGAACATGAAAGGCACTGCAGACTAACTCAACCAGAGAAGTCAGCCAGAGCAGAGCACCTGAGAAACCAACCTGGACACAGCATATTATTCAAGAACACAGAAATGCTGGACCACTCTCACAACCACCATGTCAGACTACACAGAGAAGCCATTGAAATACACAAGCATGTGGACAATGTAAACAGAAAGGAGGAAACCATGGAAATGAACAAAATGTGGCTACCAGTATTAAAAACATCTAAAATCAGGGTAGTAAAGAAAGAACAACACTCGGAATACAGGGGAATTCCAGGCAAGAATTAATCAGGGCCAGTTAACACTTCCCAACAAAGGATTCCCCCAGACAGGAAGCAGCCAGGCTTTGAAACTGCAAGGCTATTCAATGCTAATCAAGTTGGCCAATTGTAATGTTCACACTTGAGTCCTTTTGGGAAGATAAGGTGGTATTTAAATAGAGTTTTCTTATTATCAGGCAGACGAGTCCTTTCTCCCACCCTGGATATAATTCCACATATATATAAACCCACTTTCCTAGTTTCCAACAGACCTCGCAATCTCCGAGGATGCCTGCCACAGATGTGGGTGAAACATCAGGAGATAATGCTTCTGGAACATGGCCAAACAGCCTGGAAAACTCACAGCAACCCAGTGATTCTGGCCATGAAAGCCTTTGATAACACATAAGTGGGAAGGTTTTGTGTTAGACCAGTACCATTTGGCCAGCTCCTTCCCTTCTTCTTACCCAAAGAATGCCCATCAAGGGGCGCCCGTGGACTTCTGTATCTGCTCTTTGAGGATGAGGATGCTCTGCCTTTGCTCCGGAGGCAACATGGCTATCTGGTCGGCCGTCAGCTGGAGGACCTGCATGATGAGTGCAGCCTATGGGGAAGGAGAGAAAATGGCATGACTGCATCGGATCTCAACATGGGAGATGGGGAGGATTTTGGATCCTTTGGGATGGTTTCTGGCTTGTTTCTGACCACTTCCCCTACAAAGCCAGTGCATTCAACCTGTACAATCCAGTTAAGGTACGGATAGTGTAATCAGTATGCATTAACTGGCATTAAACTACAAAGATCTAGCTTTTTGAATGAACATCAAATCCAAGTAAAACACAATGCATTCTTCGGTGAAGAAGAGTCTTTTTCTCTTCTAGTCTGCTTCAGAATCTATATCCTGCTGCTGCCAGCTAAGGTTAACAATCCAAACAGCAAGTCAGAAGGCCATAAGGGAAAATGCAATTATTTAAAGTGCAGTAAAATAAATACAAACAGAACACATGACAAAGCCTAGTGCAAATAAATAAATAAAAACAGACTGTATTGTGTAAATATTAGAGACATGTGTTCATACACCCCAGGTTCAACTATTCCAGAGGTTTGAGACCATCTCAGAAGGGAAAATGCTCCTATTCTCTAAGAAAGGGGTCTCTAACAGATCTGTCCTTCACCTAACTGTTGCTAAGTTTGTACATAACAGTAAGCCAGGTTGTTGGTTGATTTTTAGCTTATTCTTTTGCCCAAACCCTATCTTCTAATTCAACATGGCTTGCCAAATAACTGTAATACAAAGTCATGGTTTGTTGCTGGTTTACAGATTCCAGCTTCTTTAAACTCTGGCCTGAAGTAAGAACTTTGTCCTGTTTTGAGTGTTTCCCCTGTTTGGTCAATATGAAAAGCATACTGTAAATTGAGTGGTCAACTGTGGGGCAATTTGGGGTCCATACAAAACTGTGGAAGAGCACAATGTGAGAAAGGAGAGAAATGTATTTCTGACCTTTTCGTGGTCCTGAGGTGTCACCTGGTTCTGGCCGGGACTGAACCCCCCAGGCTGGGTGGCTGCCTGTACCCCTGCGCCCGGCATCCCTGTGGCCTGCATTGCTGCCCCTGGTAAGTTAGGAACCTGCAGGTATAGAAAGAAATACATGCAAAACTATTGATCCTTTCCAAATCATACATGGACAACACAGACACTTGCTACCTCTGAACACTCAGGGCGCCTGCAGAGAGTTGGGAACAGGAATCTACTGTTAAGAAAACAGTGTGGGACCTAGATTATTGCCCTAGTACTAGCACTAGTCTCTTAAACTCCAGTCACTTTGCTTCTAGCCACAAATCTGTATCTGAAGATCTGCTTTTTTCTCATATGTGGTTTTGCTAGTGCACTGGTTCCCAACCTTTTTTTGATCAAGGACCACTCGATCAGTTTTTGGCTAACTTTAGACTGGTTTGGTTATTTGGGGTGCTGATTCAGAAAATTGCATTGGACTGGCCACTTTAGCTCTAGTTTCTGATACAGAACATATGCCATCCAGTGGTCACCATCTGCTCGCCCTCAAAAAACCATACTTAATAATGTAGAGCTGATGTGGTCTATCCAATGCAATTTTCTGAATCAGCACCCCAAATAATCCCAGGAACAGGCCTAAAAATGAAGACACCAAGAATATATATATATATATATATATTCTATATTCTATACCTGCAGGTTTCTATGTTATTGTACACCGCCACGAGTCGCCCTTCGGGGCTGAGAGCGGCGGTTAACAAATGCAAGAAATAAATAAATAAATAAATAAATATATATATATTTGGTTGGGCTGTGTTATTATCCATGGATTTTGTTAACGCTTGTGTTAAAAAAAAAAGGGAAGTTGTTTGAGGTTGAAAAAAATGCAAAAAGTGGAGCAAGAGACCCAAGAATCTGTTCCTAACGGCTTTAACAACAACAACAACAACGATGACTACTACTACTACTAGTAGTAGTAGTAGTACTTCTTTAGGGGACTAAACAGGGTCTTACAAATGACTGCTTTCCCGTTACAACTTTTATGCTTGGCAATGGAAGCTAATAATAATAGTAACAACAATAGCAATAATTTTGGGAGACTAACAGTGTGGACATAGTGCTCACATAACCCAGTTCAAAGCAGATATTGTGGGATTTTCTGTCTGGATATTCTGGATTATATGGCTGTGTGGAAGGACCCTTGGATAACCCAGTTCAAAGCAGATATTGTGAGATTTTCTCCTTTGATATTCTGGGTTATATGGCTGTGTGGAAGGGCCCTCAGATAACCCAGTTTAAAGTAGATATTGTGGGATTTTCTGTCTTGATATTCTGGGTAATGGAAACAGGGCTGAGCAGCAGCCATGAAGGAGGCAGCAGGAGCAGCGGCAGTGACCCGGGATGGCAAAGAGGCAGGGTGGGGTTGGTCAGTTCTGCGGAAACACGTGGCCTGAACCATGCCATATTTATATTCATGATAATTCCTATTAGGAGCATTGACATCATCTGGAAAGGTATTTCTCCCTTCCCTTCAATAATCCTTTAAAATAGTCATTTTAAAAGGTAGTCACCATCCCATAATATCAAGGAATTGTTTCAGAAACCCTGGATGAAAACAGAGTAATGAAGAAAAGCCCCGCCTACC